GTCGGTGTTGACGGAGGCAAGGCGTAAAGTTATGTGTCGTGCAGTCATGAGTGGGCCTTTGGCTCCACAATCATATCAATAATGTCTTGTTGAATGGTTCAAACGCTGACACTTGATGGCCCAGCATTGAAATTTGCAGCAATTTGCGGAAAGGTTCTTCTGTCACGTAGTGTGAATCTCATCTCTCATCGTCGGTCCTGTTCTTACACCATCTTTTTGTGGCTGCAGAGATGCTGGAGGTTTAACGTTTTACCGGATTTCCGATATGCACAGTAACTCCTGAAATGACTGTGGGAAAATCCAAATTTCATTGCAACCTCTGAAATGCTATTCCCCTATCTCTCTTGCCCAGACTATAACATCTTGTTCAAACTCTCTTAATTCATGATAACCTGCCATCTAATAGCTGTGCCAGACTCTGGTTGTCTTATATGGTCTTTGCCAACCTGTGCTATATTCTGATTGGTTCCAGATCTCTTTAAACTGGGTTTATGCTAACAATAGAGATACTTCAAATATTCTGAACTCTTCCGATCCCTAATAGGACCATTGGAAGGAAACATTTGAAATGATATAGAAGATAAAACCCTTTTAACATTAATTTCCTTCAAAATCTCAACACTGATTTTATGCAGCATTATGTAACAATGGTCCATTCAGGCCAAGAGACAATTTTTTTGAAGATTCTAAAGCAGTGGTGTAATTTTTGAAAACCAAAATACATCAAAAAGGTGTTAATGTATTTTTATTCAGAGCATATAGCACTATCTGTACAATAAATTAAAGAAAAAATTTTCAGCTGTTTTGGGAAAAATCTTTTTAAAATTGCCTTTATTTCCTGCAAAATAACATGATAACTACTTGTAATTTGAAAAAAATTGTTCATGTCCTCATTTAAAGATCTAATTTGGAAAAATAGCTTTCAATCAGAAAAAAAATGTCTGCCTTCAATACTGTCATTGAAGAAAAACATTGAAAATTTTTTTCACCTTTGAAATTATCAAAAGTTAAGAGACTTCAATGAAAATTTAGACTTGTGCCATTTTTATGAGCTCTATCATATTCACAAAATTAATCCGAAAATTTGAGCATATTTTTTTTAGAACAATTTGAAAATGTCCAAGGCATTTCATGTAAAGTACCCTGACAAATTAAAATATCCATTTCAAATTCACGGCACTGTGCTTCAGTCGTTTCAACCAGGAAATATCAACGATCGACAATCCAACAGGAATTATGCCAAAAATCAGCAGTTTTTGCGGCAGCATTACATAACGTACTTCATACCATGTTTCTAGTATGCGAGAAAGTAATACAACACACTTTCTCAATGTCCAGGTATCCCAAAACACTCTTTTCTAAAAACCGAGATCAGTATTTAAAAGCATTTAAAAGTATTAAAAAATTTTAAATTTGTATGAAACAGTTAAAATACCAACTTAATTTCTATCACCAAGGGTCTTCAGCCACAAAATTCAGCATAAGACCGTCCCCAAAAATTTTACACGATATATCTTTCTGAAACTTCTTCCTATGAAATTCTGAAATTATCGGAAAACAAAAAATTAATATTTGGCCAGTTTAGACGAATTTCTGGGATTCTTTGTTTAAGGTCTGCGCATCCGCCATTATACACCCTTTAACTCACGTATTTAATATATCCTTATGCACAGGAATTTTTCCAGATATTTTTAAAAAAGCTAAGCCATTTTTTAAAATTGGCAACAAAAATGTAATTTAAAATTATTGGCCAATTTCTCTTTTGTCGATTTTTTCAAAAGTTAGAGAGACTTTTTTACATATGAACGGAAATATTTATTTGTAAACACGTGTTTCCAGATTGCCAACACGGGTTCCGAAAAACAACATCTACGGAAACAGACATATTTTCTTTGCTTAATGATGTCGCCTCATCCGTGGATCAAAACGAATATTGGAATATTTTTAGATCTTTCAAAAGCTTTTGACATCATTGATAATAACATTTTACTTTCAAAATTACCTTCGTACGGAATTCGTGGTGTTGCTCTACATTGGTTATGTCTGTACCTTAAACAATGATCTCATAGAGTAGAAATACCTTACTGGAATAATGGAATATTATATATTCACCTTTCTGATTCTTTGCCAATTGCATTTTAAGTCCCGCAGGGATCGAATTTTGACCCTATTCTCTTCCTATTATATGTAAACGATGTGCCTTTGATTATTAGAAACAGAAGAACAGTTCTCTTTGCGGATGACACGAATATTATTTGCAATAAAGAAATGGTAAATAGTACAATATCAGATATTTCAAATAGGTTCCGTAATAACAAATTAATAGTAAATGAAAAGAGAAAAGTTTCAATGTAGTTTTCCATTTCAAATAAACAGCTCTACGCTTCACTGAAAATGAATGGTGTGCCATTGACTGATGTTAAGGTAACAAAATATTTAGGTCTTTCAATTCAGTCAAACTTTAATGGAACGTCCATTTAAACGAATTGAACACTAAATTAAATTCTTTATGCTACGCTTTCAGAATTTTTTCAAATTCCGTCAGCCTACACACTGCTCGTGTATATTTTGCGAATGTTTATTCCCACCTGAGATATGGCATAATTTCTGAGGAAATACATCTTATAGCTCCTAAACTTTTAGATTACGAGAAAAAAAAGTACAAATAGTAAGAGTACAAATCGTACTAATAATAAGCAAATCCCACGCATGTAATTCTTGCAAGCCTCTCTTTATTAATCTAGGTATTTTACCATTACATTGTCTCTTCATATATGAATTAGTGCTTTTTGTCAAAAATGACTTCAGCACAGGAATATATTTTAAGGAAACACTGTTGTCTATAACTACTACAACACTCAATGTAGTAATCATATTCATCAGGTGACAGTATCAACAGCTCACTACAAAAAATTCACATATAATACATGTACATTATTTTACACGTTGCAAGGTGATACTAAAACGATTAAATTCAATACAAAAGTTTGCCCCAAGTAAAATCATTTCTGCTGCATAACCATTTGTATACTATGGGCCGGTTTCACCAAACAAAGAGTAAGAGTTTACTCTGGAGTAAATCATGTTTACTCGAGAGTAACTTCTTGGAGCGTTTCACCAACATTTTACTCGAGTATAAATCGCTTACACGAGAGTAAATTCGAGAGTAACTTTACACTGCGAAAATCCGTCGGGTAAAGTACGGAGTAATTTCAGTTTTCAACGTGCATGTACCTCCGAAGAGTTGTTACGGTTCGACGATTACAAATGATAGTATTTGAAGACGATTCCAGAAATGATTCAGAATATTATCCACTAGTGCGAAGACAAAGGGTGCGAGAGAGAATGGATTGGTTTTAATTATGACGATCAAGATTTTGTCATGAGGTTATGTTTGACCAAATCAGCTGTTTAACCTCATTAGATACATTGTAAACTGTAGAGAACTTCTAAAGTTTTTTTTTTCTCCTATGTGGATACGAAATAAAGGTAGTATGTACCGAATACAACAAAAGGAAAAATAATAACTTCAGGAACTACAAGTACTAAGAAATATTCATTTATTTATTCAGTAAAAAGTGTATGTGACGAATGGGGGAGATCATTTGCCCACGTTTTCTTGAGTTCCAGAATCCTTTCCAACATTTTAACTACAAATAGTTGAAAGGTGAATAAAAGTAAAAAAAATAAAATAATAATAATAATAATATTTAGAAAAACACGAGATCAGCAACATTTGATAAACTAAACATTTTCTTTCCCTAGTTATAGAAAATTAATTTGCACCGCCATCGGTAAACTAACTGCAAATTTGATTTTTCTGCATTGCCAACAAAATAGTAAGGAACTCGACTCCAAAGAAGAATGAATATTTATTAAGAAATAAAGATACAGAAACTAGGAAATAAACTATGCTAACTCAAACCACCATAACCCCACACCAGATTATAACGCCAAGTATTCCGAAACTGAAATGAAATGTAGAACATAAGGAATTAATTAAAGGTTCACGTTGGTTCCCAGCGTCATTCTCGCTCACAGCCTCTTGAATCACTCTCAAATATTGTGTTTAGCTGATTTGCGGAGTAAATAGGAGAGTATGTACTCTAGAGTAAAATAACCCTCTAGAAGCATGGTGAAACGCTCGTAATCTACTCGAGAGTTACTATCTTGGAGTAAATGGTTACTCTCAGGTAACTACTCTCAACTTTACTCGGCTGTTGGTGAAACCGGCCCTATTAGAGACTGTACCAAGCATCCAAAAGAAAAGTAATATTAATTTTAACAATGGCATTTAATGTAACTTATACCATTTGGATTGTATAATTTTAAAGCATCTCTAACATGTATAGTTCTGGGTGAATTACAGCTTCTGGGTTAATGACCCCCATCTCGATCAGGTTTTCATCCACTTTTCCTGATCCTTGACTAAATGCTGAGTTGGCCCCTTGTTTTGCTTCTGGACATGAATGTAAATTCAAATTAACTTCTCCCCATACCATGTCAAACACATTTTTAACTGTTTTGATGTAAATAAACAGTTTATTGGAGATTTTCAAGAAGAACACTGTGATAGAAGTCAAATTTAGAGATTTAAATATCTTTCTTTAAATTTATGTATGTTGTCATAAAATGAGAAAAATAGGTAAATCATTACAATATTCTTTGTACAATAATCATAAATGGTTGTATGGTAATGAGGGAAACAGTGCTTGACTCCTCAGATTGTAGTCATGATCTGCTACTGCTTCCATGCAACAATATGCAAACAATGCTGCCTAAAAACTAAACAATGAGCACATCGTTAAACAAAAAATTGCAAACATTTATAAATATTTTTGTCATGCTTAAGAATTCAATTTGGCTTTTACGTCTAAAACAATCTAAGAACAGAGCATAAGTTTGAAAACCCAGTTCACACCAAACAAAACGCATAAGCAGTTGCAAGGCACACAGTTACGTTGCAGTGCAAAAAGGGATGAAGAAATAAACCAACACACCACATAATCCACCAGGCATTTGAAGAGCAGTTGCAGGCGTTTCTTGAGGGGCAAGATTTCACGGCAACGGGACATTTTAGTTCCCAGTGGTCTGCGCCCAACTTTCCTTTTAGTACCACGCTCATCTGAGTCTTCTTCACTTTCAGAATCCTAAAACATTGTAACATACCCCAAAGTGAATCATACAATCAAGGTAATACAAACAATTAAAATTTAATTCACTGTACTTACTTGCCCATAGAACCACATAGTGTGCAAGACTTCTGAATTTTAGAAAATTAAAGAAGCATATAAAATGCGTTTTGTTACATATTTCCTAGGCTATTTAAAAATCCCCAAGTTAATGATCATTAATTATTACAATTACATTTTAGAGGAGCACAAATGAAAATTCTTCTTTACTTTTAGGGTATTATAAACAGAATCAAAAGTAGGGTTCTATATGTGAGTAAATTAAATAGAGGTGATGGGAGCCACGTTGTCACATTAAATTTTGATTTTTTCAACAAAAATTAATATTTTTGTTGAACTAAGGTGTATCAATTTCTAGAACGCAGCTTTGGGTACTTTATGCCATGGTAAATAGGCCAGTGATTTATGTGGAATGTCCAAAAAATCAGAAGTTGAAAAAGGTGAGATGCAATATTTTTTATGGTAAAGTAGTCACCATACCAGGGGAAAGTCAGTTCGTGAATAGTCAATTCAGATTGGATATTTAAATAGAAAACTGTACAATTTGCAATACTGAAACAAATATTCTTTATTGACTATTTGAAAACTGTTTTAACTAGTAGTGCTACAATATCACTTTCTCTCTCACATTCGTAGCAACTTTGGTTTAATGAAAGTTGAGTCTTGTGCCATTTTTTTAAAAAAAGATTTACTCTAATCCCCCCTACCTAAAAAAAATAATCGAAAAATTTGGAGCCATTTTTGAGAAAATTTTGAAAATATTAATGTCTCATTGAAAGTACTCCCCCAAATCAAAATATCCATTTCAAACTCGCTGGGCCTTGGTTCATTCCTTCATTGAGGTCGAAGTAAGAATAACCATTTTGGTTTATCCAATTTCTTTCATGCTACATAATACCAGAATATGTTTATATAGACTTGTACAAAACACCATATCTCTGCACCTCACTGAGCGAACAGAATTCTGCAATTCTAATTTTTACAATAAAGATGGTATTAAGTTTTAAACACAATAATTTAAATATTTTGGAAAAAGAAAGAGAAAAGATATTAACAAAAAAGTGGAAATAATTACAATAGACAACGTGATGTAACAAAATTGCATGTACTTTTTCATATTATTTCTCTCTTTTCTTCATCCAGGCTATCTATTTGGTCTTGCTACATACTCCTAACATCTGCCACTGCCCAAAGTAATTTTTTTTATAATTTTCTCTATTTTTCTGTTTCCTAACAGTGGAACCGAAATATTATTTTAAGAATACTAAATAGGAGTAAAACCTTATCATATACGGAAATTTCCATCCAAAAAAGTTATTTTTAAGAAAATGGCATTTAAGCATTAATATAAATGAGAAATTTGAAGTTCTTTTCCACAGCAAATTTTTGAGTTTTCAAAAAACTTTTTAGAAGTCATTTGAAGCACCTTAGCACACAAATGCAAGCGTTTACAAATTACCAAAAGTGTAAATTTACAGCATAAGAGAAATCACAAAAAGTTTACACTTGTATAATTTCTGAAAAAAACAAAATACCCAAAAATGAACTTTATGCCATTTTATACTGTGCAATTAGAACTATCCATTGGGAAAGTTTAAAATAAAAAATTTTGGGTCATTTTTGAGAAAATGGGATTAGAGTATTTCTGAAACAGCATAATTTTCAGGTACATTTCCACTTAGAAGTTTTGAGTTCTCGAGAAACTTTATAAGACATCATTTACAGCACATGTGGCATAAATCCATATTTCACATGTTGAATATAGTAATAATGTGAACAAACCACTGCAAATATAAATATTGATGATGTGAGAGGTTAGTCAAAAAAATTAAATTTTTGAAAAAACAAAAGAATAGCATTTGTGCCATCTTGTAGATAACATATAGCACTTTCCCCACTGTAAGAAGAGAGAGATATTATTACATAACTTTTACTTAGTGCAAGAGTACTTTTGGAGCACCATTAGTCAATTTTTAAGAACTCCAATGTTTCCTATAGAACCACTTACTTGGTCATGTCTACACACCTCTTCAGGGGTCTGACAGTACTATCTAGCTTATGCTAGATTGACTATATTTCAGACCCGTTATCTAAGAAACTCCTTTACTTAGAACTTTGAAATTTTTACAGAATTTTGTGTAACTTCATTATTATACTTGACCAGAATTATTTCAAAAGGATATCATACAACCGTTTAACAGAATTTTAAAAACTTCCAGAGAATTTAAAAATAGTTTTAAAATAAGACATGCATTAATCCATAGTTTTAACAATTTTGTAAAATGTTAAAAGTTTTGTAAAGTAATAGAAAAGCATACTTCAAACCTTACAAACACAGAGAACAGATGTAAACTAACCAATGTTACAAAACTTCAATAATAAAGATGTAACCATTGTGACAGTTTCACCAATGTGAAGAACAGAAACCAAGTGTCTACATAAGTTGCAGACATTAATATAATTAGATTGACCCAATAAACCAAAATTAAGAGTCTTAACAAAAGGGACATGCCCCTGACTGGCTGCAGATCGATTTAAACATTTTAAATACACACTTCTATATCAAATTTTGCAATGAAAGTCATATGCAAGTCTAAATAATTTAAGTAGCTTAGATTCTAAAAATGTTAAAGTTTCAAAGCTTTTCTATCAGAAAGAACCTTATGATACTTCTTTACACAAACATTTGAGCAGCCTACCACTCAATTCTTCTCGGTGCCTTCTTCAATAAGGGAATAGTCAATGAAGTAACCCTCTACCCATCAGCTGCAAAAATTAAAATGTCCCAGATACAAGGTGATGAATTTGCGTTAAGGATCACTTTTACTTTCTCCCTATCACTACCGTGATAGAGAGAAAGTTATGTAATCTTGTGCAAACAAACTGTGAATTTTCAGCAGAAAAGGGTATTATAGGGTTCTGGAAACAAAAATATGGATAAATCCAGGTGCTAATTTAGGGGGGGAAATCCCTTTAACATGCGGTGTAGTCAGAATTCGTGTTTTGTGGATCCTTCGGACCGAAAACTCGATTGACAGCAAAACGTCAGTCTCTCTGTCTGTGAACAATGCTCAGGGGTAAACCAATCAGCCAATTTTCTCCAAAATTGATGTTCCCCAATCGAACTGGCTGATGTCACAGCCCCTTGAATTTGAAACTGATATTTTAATTTTGGGGAGTACCTTACATAAAGCCCTGATATTTTTAAAATTAAAATAAATAAAATAAAAAAGGCTCTAATGTTTTTGATTACGCTTTGTTATTGGATAGTATGAAGAACATTTAAGAAAATAGTGCAGGTCTCCTTTTTCTTGAAAACACTGACTTTTCGAACACTCAACAATTTTTGGGCATAGTCCTACAACTACAATTATGAACAAATAATTATTTTTCTCTTAATGAAATGTCCCCATCAGAAATCGATCATTAAATAAGATCTTGTTCAATTTTTCAAAAACACAAGTATTTTTGTGAAATTTTGTGTCAAACACAGGGAATTCTTATTTTCTTTAAACCATTTCTTTTTTTAGAAACACAACATTTTTGGATTAAATTTAGATCTTAGATAGCATAACGACACTTAAAAGAATGGTACAGGTCTCATGTTAATTGAAATGCCTGTTTTTTCGGATTTATATAAAGAAATTAATAAATTTTCAGCATCTTCCTGCATCTACAATTGTGAGGATACAATTTTTTACTTAATGAAATGTGTTCATCAGAAATTGATCTTCAAACAAGGTCTTGTTCAATTTTTTGAAAATATGAGTATATTTTTCGCATATTCGCGACAAACTGACACCCACTCCAAATTTACTGCTCTTTGTTGAACTTAATTCCTGACAGTTGGATGCTTTGTAAGTTAACATTTGAGAATTATTTCATATTCGTTTGTTTCTTAAACTTGAGCTTTTGGTACATGTTTTAAAATTAATCTTTTATAAATCATTTAAAACCTATTACACATTTATGCTTCAATTGAGTAAAATGTGAAAATGAATAGATTGATTTCGCTTTACATACAAAGATGTGGGAATGATTAGCAATGCACGTAAAAAAACAAGTAATTTTGATGAATATAAAGATACTATATTTAATTATAATTTTTCTATCCATTTTCATTTTCTTGCTAGAGGTATCAACAATGCTAATTGGCAAAATGTGAATCCAAAATGAATTAACGGTCAATGTTGCTTTTTGCCACCTTGTTGTAACACCGCACTGACAGCAGAAGGTGATAATGAAGGCTGCTATTCATTCACATTAATATAAACTAATAATTTTATTTTTGGCTAAAATACGCATCATGCATTGTTGGTAGATTTATGTAGAAAGTGAATACAGTGAAATCAATGGCAGAAAGCTGATTTTGTAGAAGCATTTGAATTAAAAAAATATATGTATTTTTCAGGCATCGTTTGTGTAAGCATTTTTCAAATGGTAGTTGAAGTGCAAGACAGAAAATGTATTATAATATTACATAGCCATTAACAGTCTCCTGAGAAAGTATGTGCTGTTGTAGCTCCACTTGTTTCTTTGGTCACAGACAAAAATTCAAGAATCCATGGCAACTAGTTTCACATCATGAACATGAACAAAACCTTAAACATTTGATTTTTTTTAAGATAAAAATATTGTAAATTCAATAACTTCATGGAAAGGGTTACCTTTCACATTTTTTTATACACCCACAAATATATGTGCCTTATTAGAAATTGTAAGTGACAACATAACATTACTAAACACCATGGGTTATGCAATCCAAAGCTAAGCTAAAGCATTAAAATAAAAGGGTGTACCCTCAAAAGATAATTCTGCAAATACACTGGGGTATTTACTTAACTCTAATAATTGTTCAGCCCAAGTTTACTCAATAAATTTAAGTTCACACTTGAATTAAGTCAATTTTTCTAAATTGCATATGGGAGTAAGGAAGAACTAATCCACAGACAGCTGTG